CTGACTCATTATGATCCTCAAGCTGATGTTATTGTCGCAGCTGACGCGATCAGTGATGCGTTTGAAGTGAATGAGAAAAGTAACGAGATTCAACGGAACTGTAGTGATGAAATTCAGGTAAGGTTTGAGAGTGTTCACGCATCATGGGTGTTGGACATAAGAATCGACGAAATACTACCAATGGAGAGTCGTACATACGAACCTGTGAAACATGCATCATCCGTACATGACAACTGTTGCAATGTTCTTGCACTGGATGCTGTTCTCACGTACTCTACTCATTCTCGAGAATAACTCTCGAATTTTCACATCTGATTTTCATGATGTCTCGTTACTCTCAGCACTGTTTTTACCGATTACATAGTGGTTTTGTTTTGTGTCGGTATATTTCTCATTCACTTCATACGTATCATGCACTCACTCCTATTTCTAATTCTCTTCGCAGTGCACACAACTCTGTGCATTTCCTCGCATCACAGTTTCGTTGCAAGCAGATTTTGAACGGAAGCAATGACCGCAAAACGAGTTGCCACAATACCGCGAAATTGATTTCAGTCGACAGCAGGCAGTGTTTACGTCGTTGGATTCTGCGCACCTGAGATTGAACCATTTGAACTTTCGAGTGAAGTACCTCACGATCTGTCTTTCTCGGGCTAAGGCGTTTCGTGTTCTAGACAAACACTGAGCCAGGCCAGCCAGTGAACTTGATATCGTTAGGTCGTTTCTGCAGATCGGTGAAGTTTCAGAGATGGCACGATCAAGGTGTAATAGTATCAACATTGTATCTTCACGTAATTCTCGAAGATTGTGTCGTCAATTTTAGAGATTCGTAATGATTTCTAAACAAATTCTCAAGTTATCAACTGAATGTTATCGTGTACTATATGCTAATTTGTAACGGTACTTGGCTCTTGTGCTGAACTGAATTTCAATTTAGACAGTAGAAATTCTCACTATCAGAAAATCATTTGTGCAACCCAGAGATATGGACGAGGACTGTCTCAGTCGGATTTGTTCGTCAAGTTTGACCCCTGCATCACCTAAAGGTAATCAGTTTTAAGTTCGTTCTTTCTTCCAAATGAGAAATACTTTGCATATTTTGCTCTTACGTAGAGATTATTCAAATTTTCCTTATTCATTACTTATTTCGATGGAGTTAGTTTGATTGATTCGTTTTTCAACACACATTTTTACTTCAGAATGCTAACAATTCCATTAATAATCTGTTTTGAATTTATATGTTTTTTTAATGCAACCAAATGTCCAAAAAAATCACTAACATCGGCTGCAAATAGAAAATNAATGAAGATAAATTTTTTGCAGAGGTGATGCAGTATTCGTCAGATGATTTTAAAAAGTTGCAGTCACATTGCTATTCATGTGGCTCTGAAACGGGAGCATTCAAAAAGTATAAAGCAACGCGAAAAAGTGGTGCTCCAGAGATGCGCTTTAGATGTGGCAAATGTCGTAGATTCACTGGTAATATTTACGTTAAACTACGTGACGATACTTACATGCTGTCCAGATTGGGTGACTAATTTTGAACTTTTACATTTTATATTGTTCAGTGTGTTGTTCATCTTATATTGTTCCGAAAATGTGCAAGAAGACTATTTTCATAACAAATAACGTCCTATTGCTTTCACAAAACCGTTGAATCCGTAAGAAAATGTTCGTACTGGCTAGAGAAAATTGTGTTTTGTTGAAGTTGAAATGCTGAATGATTCAACGGAAAATGACTGAACCGAACTGTTAGAAAATATATTCAGCTGAAGATTGTGTTCAGATCCACAAAAGTACACACGCCAGATAAGTGAAGAAGTAGGAGGTGATCAGCAACATTCCACTGTATTACCGGATGGATCAGACTCTACAAAACAATAGTAAGGAGAAGAATTTTCTTATCGTTATCATTTGTTACTGTCGTTGGAAATTGAGTGTTGTTTGCTGACAATATTCTCTCACAAAAAAGATTTTCGTCAAAATGAATTGTTT